AATGTAATCAGTTCCCTTACCACTAATTACATAATCTTACAAATGCATTAAATAAAGAAATGCCATTTCAATTGAGCAAAACACAAGATAATGCGATACCTGAAATATATCTGCTGTGAAGTCATGTAAACAACATGCAGTATAAAACATACACAAATCAACATACTGGAAAAAAAGTTTTATTCTTTCACTTCGTCTATAAAAAGTGGTTTTGTTCATTTTTTCATTCATTATTTTCATGATTTTCTTCTCTTTTTAAAAATTTGCAATGAACACATTGTATACAATATAAACATATATATAACGAACCTTCAATTGTGTAGGCATTCAATCTGAAATAAGAAATATAACACATGTATATGCCAGTATGTTTTCTCTCTTATCTAAAATGGTCATATGGAACATATTATCACAGATACAGCAATTCTCCTTGACACATGCACACTCTCATACACATTCAAAGTCATCAAGCACTAAACTTGTCTCACTGAAATAAAGACAACCTATTCACTTCAATCTTCCTGGTAATTTAGAATCAAACGAGTCACATAAAGCAAGCTTTATAGAAAGCAGTAACATGTTCCTAACTGAAAATAATTTTGTTTTCTATATGAAACTAGTAATTCATTTCGCCCAGAGCTGAAAAATAAAAAAAGAATTTGTCCAAATATTCAACACTTCAGTTCCAAATCTTCTGCTGAAAAAAATGGATTCAAAAGTTTGAAGTTCAACTACTCTGTTAGTCTGTATTGCAGGACTGGGGTACAGAATAAAGATTGTTTACAGAGTTCCTCTTCCTCTGACACCGAGTTCAGTACACCATGTTAAAACGACACTGCTCAGTTTACACACATATGTCCAAATCTTCACTTTAAAGGTGTACACTCACTTGTTCAGGATTCTTCTCATAATTTGAATGGTTAAGTTTACTTATTGATTAAAAAAAAAATCTCTTCAACACTTGTTCCTTGGAGAACCAGTTTTTGTAACTGGAGGAAAGTCTGCTCCTTAGACTTAGAATAAATAATGTTTCTAACCAAAGGAAACCTCATCTTTGAAAATCATGCTTTGGTTGGAGAAAACCTGATCCTTGGAGAAGAAAATGTTCATGAGTATTAAGACAAAAACAGCAACATATAAATTTACACATACATGACCAAGATGGACGAGATTCATAGAACAGGCTGCAAGGTTGACATCAAGGAATGAATACTGGCCAACATCAGCAGCTATCGGGCTAGCCACATAAACCTCCCAAACTACCAACAACTTATGCATGGAAGATAGATGTGACCATCTGTAGACTTTCTCACCTTCCTCTTCCATTATCTGGATGGTGCCATCAAAATGCTCGGTATTAATATTAACTTTCGACTTAACTTCTTGGTTGGAAATTTGGCAAATATAGGAGACTTCATCTGCATCCTTGTCATAGCTGGTAAATTACAAATTTCTCTTGCAAAAATAACTCAGGATTACATAAGGCACTGCTTACAAAGTCTTAAAGTTGTAACTTCTTGTTGACGCGATAATGGATAATAGGTAGGGGGGCAAATGAAGAAAAAACAACCTCTTTTCAACTTGGAAACATCACTGCTGTTGCACGTTCTATGGATGATGAAAATAATTCGATTTGAAACCTGAAATAATCATTTGATTTGAGTGGAAGACGAAATCCTTTAAGTCCTTGAAATACTTGCTGTCTTCGAAATTACATAAACGGCTGCGATTGAATTTACTTCCATTCCCGTCATCACAACCCGATCGAGCTCCACATTAAAACAGGACTTTTTTCTTTCTTATTTATGCAAGTCTTTGAAATATGGATCTTCTTCTCATGAAATAGAAAATTTAACTTCATCTTGAATATTTCTTCATTGCAATGCGTATGCCTGCCATAGGAAAACTTTAAAAAAAATTACAACTATTGACTTGAACTGGACAGTGCCACATGATTTACTACGAAGTCCTTGCCTTGGATTTCCGGTTTAATATTTAGACTAGAACTAATATCTATAAAAATGGTAACCCCCGCCTTTCGCGGATATGATGTAAGGACCTGCCTTCATAATTTTAAAGTCTATAGGGCCTGAATGGCTGTTGCACATGTTTTACAGTCCACTCTGGTTCCATCAGGAGTCAAGACTGCCCCTTTTTCCTTCAAGAACACTATACAATCCTCCATGTTTGGGAAGCCTAATTCAGCCAGGATGAAATCTACGGACAGCATTGGGCGATATCTACACATGATCATACAAATTTGTAGTAAGGCGCACATGTGTAGAATTGGTCGAATGGTCATGGGACAAAATGAAAAAGAAGAGAAAAGAAAAAATGTTAAGACATAAAAATACACTCAAATTAAATGACATCCATTACCTTTTCAATATTTGAAAAATCTTACCTGTAATGCAATGCTCAAAATGTTTCGTATAGTGACATTAGCTTTTAAAATCAAACGTTTCTTCATATAATACAGAGTGTACCAGCTGATCAAATATACTTACCATACTTACCTAAAACATCCCAGCTTCATCTTAGGCATCGACAAAACACAATTTATGTTCAAAATAGGGAGTATTTACATGAGACAATTTTCAATGAATTTATCTGAATAATTCTTCTATAATTTCCTAAAAAAACAACAACAATCTCCTAGAAAGATGAAATGACAACTTATCCATTTAACTGTACTTTAAAAATAAACATACCACAGAAACTTGCATTAAAATTTATATTGCTCAACTTTATTCAAAGATATATTTTAATAAAATTTATCAAAAAATACTGGTTAAATATATCACCTTTTTAGAAATACCCCTTTGCAGTTCCAAAATCATAGACTTATTTACACCGAACAGGGGTAAACAATTTAGTTTTATGCAGCAGAATTGGAACATATAAGAAGAGGAAAACATTGTTACGTACGACTTCACAATGGTCTTCAGTGCTGTTTTCCTTGCTCTGTCAGCAAACCAGTCCAACAGATAACCAGACATTCTTGGTGCATGATTTGACAATTTGAAAAATTTGTGAAAATTATTCAGGGCCCAAGCAGACCTTACTTTTAATGCAAATGACACACACTCATCTTGCCTGCAAGTTGAGGAAAGAGATGCCAAGGCAGTTGTCATATCTTCACAAGGTCAAGGACAAATCATTATTCATCTGTAGCAAGTTTTTAACAAAAGAAAGAATGCAACATGTAATCTATTCTGATTTTTAACAGGCATTACATTTTATTTGTCATAACCCAATATAATGAATGTGAAAAAAGTTAATCAATAATTTTTCTCAAATCTTGTTTTAAGAAATCTAAATTTCTGACCCATGTTAAAGAACAAGATCAACCTAATATATCTATAGGAAGTGAACAGAGCTGACATTATCCCCCGTCTTATACATAGTACAAGGGGCAGGAATTGCTTGTTTTGTAACTGGTTTATGCAAAAAACATAATCCAAGTTACATGTATCCAACACAAAGTAGGCAGTTAATTTCAGTATATTTCATAGTATCTCAATACCACTTTAAAAAAAAAAAAAATCATGAAAGTGGCATCCTCCCCAGTTATCATGTCTTATTACATGTTTGTGTCAAGATGATGTATTAGTGGTATTAACAAAGGTACAATAGAGTGTATAAATAATGACTGGATGTTTCTACATATTTTTACTGTGATCTTGACCTATAAACTTCACAAATGTCAATACACTGGTGGTGACTGACAAAGGATACCAAGCGTGTTGGATGTGAAGATGTAGTATAAAATCCTGTAGGCAAGGAATTCCAGTTGGTTTCCATGTAGACCTTCCTGATACAGCAGCTTCAGCTGGGTCTGGCATTGGTTAAACTCCTCATGATCGCCCTACAATCACAGTTTACGATATTACATCTTCTCTTCTCTAATCGAGTCTTATGAAATTTCATTAGATCTACAGGAAATGTCAGCAAGACTACAAAATTATCATACATGTTTATTGACTGCACAACAATTCCAATACAAGAACATTATACAAGACTTCATTGTTTGTAAAACTGCTCCTTTACTGGAAATTGTGTAAAATGTAAAGTCTATCCATACTAACGGAGCCAAATGTAAAGTCTA